GGGGGGGTGGGAGGGAGGAGGGGTGGGGGGGGGGGGGGGGGGGGTTAGTGGGAGAGAGGAAACTGGCATCGACACAAAATCCATATCGTAATAGGAAAACGTCTTTCTTACACTACTTAAATACTTAATTTATTATTTCGTATCTGCGGTTTGCTTATCGAGAGAAAAAAAAAAAGATTCAAATAATTTGTCCCATTTAATAAGAATACAACTATTTGGTATTTTGTATAATACATTTTACATAGCCGACGAATCAATGTATAATGAATTCGCAAATTGCAATCTTTCTTAAGATCCCCTTTCCTAAAAAGTAACAAAGCGAATCTATTGAACGGTGTCCACTGTGATACACACGATAAAATAAAATAAAAAACAAAAACAATTAGAAAATTTATGTACGCGTGGCAGATTAGTAACGATTAGAAGACCGTCATTTTTAATCGTATCTTATTTATCTAGAAATGTCACACTCTACTCATCGTGTCAAAATCCACTGATGCGTGCGTGCGTGCGTGCGTGCGTGCGTGCGTGCGTACGTGCATGTACGATAAGCGTTTAATACATTTCCACGCGAACTTGCAAAAATACGGATTATTCGTTCAGATTTCCCACTATCGCGCTTGGAGCACCAAGTCGAATCGGCTCTTCGATCAAAATGTGACCATCCAACGGTCAATTGGGAAGGACTAACGCGAGCATCGAGACCATATTATATTATCATTCGAAACTTCAAATTAAAACAAATAACTGGTTGTCTCGCATCGGAAAATAAGTCGTCAAGTTTGAATCAATAGGTCCAGTCCTCTATGAATTTATTTTTCACGCGGGAAACCCTCGGTCACGCCTCGCTAACTACGAGCCCAAACATTTATTTTTAAAGTCGCAGCCAAGTCTTAAGTGAGAGAAAATATTGAAAATTGATCGAGTCTGAAATAGCTAAGAAACTTTCCATATCTTTCGCGCTGTCGTTAAATTTTTAAATTGAATTTCCATGCCCATGGGCAATGACGAGAAAGGCGAATTACGCATTCTGTTCTTGAACATTGGAAATGAAAGAACTTGGAAGGTAATTTTCCTCCATCGACTCGTACCGAATAGCTCTTCGCGCTCCTACCTCACCCCCACACCACCACATCCTCTTCCTCTTCCTCCTACCACCTCACCGTCCCTCAAACATCACGTTTCCGGTTCTAGCAAAGTGAAGCTCAAGCATCCAGTCAGCCTCCGTCGAGAGCAAAGATTCGCCAACTCCTCGTCTAACTCATCGATTCGTTTCATTAGTCGCCAGCCTAACCTTAATCCCGGACGTTTATCATTCGCTACTTCGTATGCCCGAGTCAACTTACTTCACAGTCTAACGTAATCGAGCGCCGTTAAATAATCGACTCGACGACCGAGGCGTACCGCCCTCCTCGGTTGCGCAACGCAAGGCCTTCGGGCCCCGTTATGACCCAATTATGAGTGCGAGGGCGTCGCATTTATACAGAGGCGCATTTGCCTCCGGCAATCGGCAAAAAGTCCGACGGCCGTGCGACATCGTGTCCTTGGTATTACCCGTGGGTGGCCTTCGTCACGGGGCACACCATGCTGTTGGATATAAAAAAAAAAAAAAAAAAAAAAAAAAAAAAAAAAATAAACGAGAAAATTCGCCCACTCAAGCGATATGCATACGATACGCACTCGGCCCTGGCCGCTTGAAAATATTCAGTCTTTATGGCCATTTTACATTTTACGAGCTGTGCAATTATCGATTAAAAATTATTTGCTTTTTATGAGGTTCGTGGGACGGTGGTGATACAGGATCGACTCGTTGAACCATCATCGTTTCTCTGCAATATGTTACGAGACATCGAAATTATTAGTTATGCAGAAAATGAACGAAATATGCAATTTGGACTAGTAAGTATTTAAGTATTAGCGATGGAGTGAAGCGTTGTTCGTTTTAAATGGAAAATTGGTTGATTAGAAGAAAATTTACATTTTTTAATGTAATTTCATTATCGAAGTATCCAACTTTTTTAAGTGCAACGATCGATCGGACGAGTCGTAAGCACATTTTCCGTCCCGTCATCTCTTTTTACATTTTACACCTGCCTATTATCGTGAAAATTTTTTACATTTGACAATTTCACTACGATTATCGCTTCTATGACTTGTTCTTTATTCGAAATTAAACCACTTGATAATTATATAAGTAAGTAGGTTAAGAGTTTCGATTAGAGCGACTTTTAAAGATAGTACGTAAACAATTTACTTTTATATTTCTGCGCTTGATGTACAAGTAAATATAATACAATAGATCTCTCTCTCTCTCTCTCTCTCTCTCTCTCTCTCTACTTTTTCACCTTTTTCTTTAAATTTAAGAGCGACACCGCTGATAATTGAGATACAATAATCTGACATTTTTATTTATCCACTTGTATGCTCAAACGTACTTTACCCATATACAGCTTAATAAATGTCATGATTTTATTAAACACGATGTATTAAAATATGTAATTGAGCAATTGAAATTTATTAGGAGCGACTACCGGTTAATTAACTATAAACTACATAAGGATCATCTAATTCCTAGTATTCTCTGTCCAAGTATTCATCACATTGAAATGCACACATCTACTTTGATTTACAAGACATTAATGTGTTCCATTTCAAACTGCTAAATATATCCAATTTTGTTGTATATAATACATTTCCATTGTACTTTCGACTATGGATTAGGTTTTAATACCGAATCATTATTTTCATTTATAATGTAATTACGGGCAATCACGCAACACAGGATTGCCCTATTCATTTAATCGAGGGTTAGAGTGCCAATGATTTTTATTTCGTTGAGACAAAAACGCAGTCACCCTTGCTTGTAAATTTGTTACGTGCGGAAAGATTCCCCCATAATCTAATTTGATAATAGCCCATCTTCAACTTTATCATTTAGAAATAACTTTACCAATTCCATCCTCTATCTATCTTATTATTCTACTGCCTTTCTTCCTTTTTTTTTCTCTTATCTTTTTTCTTTTTATTACTAAACGTTTTTATTGTTTGGTAATCAACGAGTGTTGATATTTCTTTCAATCATTCTGTCGATGTATCATTAAGGATTTAAATTTCGTTTCAAATTCATTTTCAATATTTACCCCAAATATCCCAATGTATGATAATGCATCGTCAGTGTAATAAAACAAACCTGACAGCCCGAAATAACGACTAATCCCAAATAATAATAATAATAATAATAATAATAATAATAATAATAATAATAATAATAATAATAATAATAATAATAATAATAATAACAACAACAACAACAACAACAACAACAACAATCATACCTTAATAATAAATAATTAGATTTTTCAAAAAACAATAATAGAATATCTTTGAAATAGGTAGTGCGTTAGATTGGATTGGGGGCGGGGGGGGGGGACAGAATTCGCGTGCTCTACGATGAGACACACGAAAGCACTTCCGCCTTCCCTCCCCCAACGCATAAATCATTTCGTTTTTTCCCATCAAGAGTATTGAATGGAGGATCGATTCGCTTTTCTCAGGCTCGCCCGATGAAAGATGCCGCTGGATACGCCGTTACCACTGCCACCGCCACCCCCTCCACCGTCGTCGCCGACCGGGGGTCGGGCGTCGGTCCAGCTTAGGAGGCCGATGGGGACGTGGCGCCGAGGGTACGCGCGGAGGATCGTGCGTGGCGGTCGTGCCTCTGCCTGAAGGATGGCCAAGCACGCGGGCAAGGTTGCCCTGGCGACGAGGGAAAGCCGCTGCGAGCTGAGCTTTTGCGCGATGCCCCTACCGAGCATCCTCAAGAAGGCCAGCAGCTACATACTCGGCGAGAGCTGCGGGGACAGCCTCCGCGGCATGTACCAGGTGACGAGTTTGCATCATTTTCGCTATGTCGCTTACGACGACTATATTATTACTATTGTCGCGTACCTTACGCGATCCAAGGATCTCCTCGCACGTGGGTGGCACCTCTGTGCCAACTGTCCTACAGATATTCGCGTTTTCGCGCACGCAAATTCGTACCCTAATAACGCATGCTTGGTAATTGTTGATTGAAGCGTCGAGGCGTTGAGGCGGGGGGGGGGGGCGAATGGTGGTGCGAATAGTCGAGGAGAATGGGCAAAGCCGTTAGGAACGAGTGCGAATGACGCGCGTACGGTTAATTACCAGGGGAAGATCGACGTTAGTTGACTCTGGCGTTATTTATGCGCATGGAAACGTGCGTGGGAAAGATAATAGTAGCACGGGAAGGTTGGGGCAAGAGGGAGAAATGATTAAAGTCGCTTATCTCTCTGGGCTTGGCAAGTTTGCATCGATAATTGCACTGCCGCAGGACGGCGAGACGATCTTCTGTAAGAACAACGTCTGCGTTCATCCGCCGACGCTTATTCGCCAGCACTGCGACGTGGTCCATCATCCAGGATACATGACGGTGTGCTGCAAGCTCGACAAGACGACGGCGACGACAACTTTACACCTCAGCTGGATACCCAACACCACGCTGCGCAAGTACCCCGGCACCCTCGAGAACGCCACGGCCAAGAGACTTGACGTCGCCAAGGAGGCCGAGGAGCCCCAAGTCGAGGAGCCAGGTCAGCACTTTCGTTAATTTTTTTATAAGAGAGAAGCGCCGCCTATCATCGCGCGACCGAACATTGAATAATTGGAAAATAATTGGACATTGGACGTGGATCGGACGCTCTAGTAACATTGGCATTCTCCTTATCTTTTAACGTATCGCTGACTTGTTACTATAATTATTACGCTGTCGTAATGTCTATAATTGTAGTAATATATAGTATCAATAGTAATAGTAGTAGTAGTAGTAGTAGTAGTAGTAGTAGTAGTAGTAGTAGTAGTAGTAGTAGTAGTAGTAGTAGTAGTAGTAGTAGTAGTAGTAGTAGTAGTAGTAGTAGTAGTAGTAGTAGTAGTAGTAGTAGTAGTAGTAGTAGTAGTAGTAGTAGTAGTAGTAGTAGTAGTAGTAGTAGTAGTAGTAGTAGTAGTAGTAGTAGTAGTAGTAGTAGTAGTAGTAGTAGTAGTAGTAGTAGTAGTAGTAGTAGTAGTAGTAGTAGTAGTAGTAGTAGTAGTAGTAGTAGTAGTAGTAGTAGTAGTAGTAGTAGTAGTAGTAGTAGTAGTAGTAGTAGTAGTAGTAGTAGTAGTAGTAGTAGTAGTAGTAGTAGTAGTAGTAGTAGTAGTAGTAGTAGTAGTAGTAGTAGTAGTAGTAGTAGTAGTAGTAGTAGTAGTAGTAGTAGTAGTAGTAGTAGTAGTAGTAGTAGTAGTAGTAGTAGTAGTAGTAGTAGTAGTAGTAGTAGTAGTAGTAGTAGTAGTAGTAGTAGTAGTAGTAGTAGTAGTAGTAGTAGTAGTAATCGTCAAGCCTTGTCTGACATTCGCCATTATGTAAATAGTCGATGGGCAATGTTTGTTTGGTTATTATATTCGTTATTTACTAGCCACTTTAACGAGTCTCGTTGGTGCGCCGACCGTTAGGATTCCAATGTCCATTGCGCAGGACGTACATTTGACAAAACACTGTCGTTTTATGAGAAATTAATCTTAACGGTGTTTCGCGCGACGCAAAATATTACGAAAAGCACGATGAGTGTTCTGTATTAAGGAGGCTCGCGAAAAAAAATGTTCCAAGCATATTCAAAAATGCCAATTGTTATTGCTTTGACAATGAGAATGAATCGAGCCAAGCACTGCTAAGAAAGTAATAATAATAATAATAATCCAGCCTTCCTTCGTTACACATAGAGTTATGCACATAAGAGGATACGTAAGCAATTAGTCGAGTATTTTCGTGCTGAGATTATTATCCGTCTATTATGAAATATCACGACACACCGCAAAAAGTTTGTTGGTCACATTAACGAACAATTTCTAATGTTCGTTAGGCGTTGATTGTGCATTGTCGGCGTGAGTTGAGATTGAGTTAACCTAGCCGTATGGAGGCAAAAGCCTCGTGAGGCTAATGGATGGAGCGTAATGGGAAAGCCGAGTGCAACTCAATTCGAGTCCAACGCTCTCTTTGTTTTCACGATTGCGCAGGTAAGACGCGGTTGCCGGAACGGCTGGACGTGTGCCAGGAAGCGCGGGAGTCCGTCACCTGCGGAGACTGCGAGCGCGTCTGCTCGGGAGGCAGGAGGCAGCAGATATCAACGAGGTCGGACTCCGTGGACTCGAGGCTAGAGGAGGATGGGTCGACGAACGCCTCGTGCAAAAGCCGCAGCATGTCGCTCGCCTCGACGAGCAGCCTCTCGATCGTCGCGAGCAGCGATGGTGAGCACTACTAGGTGTCAAAGCTCGTAGTGGAGGTGACGCCAGGTTCGTGGAACCTGGCGCCTCGCTCGGGACCGGCCGCTTAAACGCTGTTCTAACGACACTAGCGAGACGACTAGATTGCCCTTGTGTCGTAGAGAGCGGAGGGGGAGTGATGGAGGCGCTAAGACGGCAGAGATAGCTCGGGGTAATTTTATTTTGTGTCATGGGAAATGCGGAGGAGAAATCGAACGATTTCCTCTTGGCTCGTCTATGAAGACTTTGGATTGCAGATATTAATCGAATGTCTGGATACTCTGCCAAGTATTATCAATCTCAGTCGTTAATATGTCGTTAATAAGATCTGTAATGTTGAATGGCATCGACTGTAGCATACCGCAGCTTACAAAGCTTAAAAAATTTATAAATTTTTCAATCGCGCCTACTTTATGCATTTTTAATTTATTCTCTCTCACTCTCTTTCATTTTGAAATGTCGATTCTTTTTATCGATTAGATACTTTGTATCTGTCACTATCACTACGAAAGCTCTACGAAAAAGCCTATAAATAGCAAAATAGTTTTTATAAATAGACTTTCTTCTAAAGACTTATTATAGAGTAGAGCAGGTGTGATATTGCAGAACTGATTATATAATAAAGGGAAACGATCTTACAACTTTTATTTTAAACGATGAAGTTGCGAACGAATTTTTATTAATTTATAAAATAACTTAACGTCGGCATACGTTAAGGTATTTTCTGATTATCGATATTTTGTCGAACGCGAGATCTAGAATTATTTATCTAAGAATAATTACGTGGAGTCTTAAATTGACGGTATCGTTAATTCGAACTCGTTAATAGAAATAAATTTTATCAAAATTCTTGAAAACGTGTCTCAAGTTATACAATTTATTAACGGCAAATTGATTGAAATCCTTCACGTCCGTATACGCGATAGTTTATCAAAATGTTACATAAAGAGATCTATCGGCATGTGGTCTGCACGTAATGAATTAATCCATAATTCAATGTGTAAAATTATATTAGTTCGCTGTAGTGAGGCGAGTATACGTTTTCTTTATTTATCTTTGATGAAGTGAGGAATAATCATGAAATTACCAGGCGTATTATTATTACAAGGCGACATCGCGGTCAAACCGGATTGGCATTATAATTTAATGAACCTGGGTCATTCGACTATTCATTAGCGCAAGCTCGCTTTCCAGTAATTTTTTAAATCTTGTTTATTCACAATTATTAGTTAGCCTCAAGATTTTCACTCCCGTCCTCTCGAATTCGCACTTCCCCATTGAGTCGCGATAATCAAATTCTCTTTTTCAATTTTAAATGGGAAATTGTCGAAAGGGGGGTAACTGCATGAGACATAAAATGACCGATAATGTCTTTCCACGGACTTTGGACACACAGTAAAATAGCACGAATGACAGGGGGTAATGGTGATGCGAAGGTGGGTAGGGGGGATGAGGGGAGGCGGGTAGGGGGTAAAAGGTTGAGAAAGCCGATTTATAGACAAAACTTTACGCATGTAAAAACACGATCGTCGTCCATCCAGAGGAGATCCCCACGTGGATGAGGACCCCGGAGCTGCTCGCCTTGCAGCATAACCTCGCGTTCCCGGAGAGTGCGACGGCCTCGCCAGTGGCGGTGCGCCGCGCCCACCGGTGCCGCCGCTTCTCCGTCGACCTCGGCCAGATGCGATCGCTGAGGCTCTTCTTCGCCGACCCGGAGTGCACCTCGGGCCAACTCGTGGTCGCCAGCCGCGAGAGCCAGTACAAGATACTGCACTTTCACCATGGGGGCCTCGACAGGCTCGCAGCAACCCTGCACCAGTGGCACCAGCTGCTCAACCCCAACCTGAGCCTCGACGCCGAGGAGAGTCTGCCCTACAGGTGACAATACGGATCGGTCAGCCGTCCGGCGACCCTTTGACCACGAGCTTTCCCACTAGTTCCCCATCCTCTATCCCTTCCGACGATCCGACTAATTTTACTAGTTTTATCCCATTTAGCCAACGGTTTTACTAAAAAATTTCTATTGCTAATTTATAATTCGTGCCAATCTATAACGATTGCCTTGTGATTATCACCATCGAGAAATAATCTCATTGACTTTTTATTGAGAGTCTCACGACTAATCGATTGTATGGCAATGAGCTTAACGACGTAATCGAGGTCGTTGTTGGCATTCGTCGACAAATGCTTAAAAAAAAAAATAAAAATATATTTGAATACCGAGCCAAGGACGAAGGACGTGTGGACATTGCAGGCACTTCATGGTTTGTCGACCGGAGGTGAGCCGAGACGAGTTGCACCCGGAAGAGGGTCAAGTGCCCATGGTCACGTCGCTAGCTTGGAAAGATTTGCTTAACGAGCGCGGCCAGGTTGAGGACGACCTCGTGCTTCGCAAGGGCATCTTCTTCGGGGGTCTCGAGCCAGCGTTACGCAAGATCGTCTGGCCGTTCCTTCTGCACTGCTACTCGTATCAGAGCACCTACGACGACCGGGAGCAGATCGACGAGATCAGACGTCAGGAGTACGAGGAGATTCGGAAACGTAGAGCGACCATGAATCCGGAGGAGGCCGACAAGTTCTGGCGCAACGTCGTCTGCATCGTCGAGAAGGACGTCGTGAGGACGGATCGAGCCAATCCTTATTACGCAGGCGAGAACAATCCCAACATCGAGATCATGAAGTAAGTCCTTTGCCCGAGATCAAAAGTTTCTTCTTACCCTAACCGTGACAATTGATCCTCCGCCGCATTATGCAAAGTCAACGTAATCTGTAATGCGAATGAAATTTTCACAAAGACAATTCTTTTAAAATAATATGTCTGTGCTCCCCCTCCTCCTCACAATTAAAATGCACATAATTAAGTCGAGTCCAAAATCTAAGTGATGAAATTTCCTTTAGCCCTGGGAATTTGTAATTTTAAAAAATTAAGTGAAATTGCGACCTTACATGATCGTGCCACTTTGTAAAATAGCCAACTATCTCTCTCATCATCAGGAACATTTTGCTGAACTACGCGGTGTACAATTCGCGACTGGGCTACACCCAGGGTATGTCGGATCTGCTGTCGCCCCTCCTCGCCGAGCTTAACGACGAGCAGGACGCGTTCTGGTGCTTCGCCGGCCTCATGCAGAGATCCGTGGCCGTGTGCACGCCTACGGACGTCGATATGGACAGGAACCTCTGCTACCTGAGGGAGCTCCTCCGGCTCATGGTGCCCAGCTTCTATGCCCACCTCGAGAAGTACGACGACGCCCGGGAGCTGCTGTTCTGCCACCGCTGGATACTTCTGTGAGTGACACTCTGGCTTGACGGACAAATAGAGACTTTGGGTAGTATAGTAGAATAGTTATTGGGATTATAGTTATTGGGATCCCAATACTTATTGGGACGAGTATCGGGTGGGTATTTGGATGCATTTCGCCGCCCTACATCGGCTATTTACAAAAACTTGATTGCAGACGGTCGGCATTGACAGAAACACGCGATGCTTATATTCAACTGACTTTCTCGCTAGATGGCGATCGTGTAATTATTTATTCGTTAATTACACGCGTACACGTATTGACAAGCTTGCTGAACTCATCAATTTTTCAAGAATATCAATTAATCAATTTTGGTATCGTCTTATTATGTAAATTACCTATCGACTCCTTGTATTTTTTTGTTAACTGCTTGTTAAAAAATTTCGGGAGGAAAAAAAGTCGTTTTTATTGCTCTCGCGATCAATGTCCTACTCGGGCTCCTTTCAACATTATGTATGCATCACGAATTGTAGTCCACATCCTTGAACAAATAGGACCTGCATGAGAATGTAAATTCTATTCTTTAAGCGATGCTTCGTTTGCGGCACGATAATTAAGAAAACTCGTTTTCGCTCGTAACTATATCGTCATTATATTTTCATTTTAATCTCCTTTTGAAAATTTGCTTAACCCGGCTCCTCATAAATTCCTTGTCTCGTTAAAAATGGACGAATGATCGAACCCTAATCACGATGAAACATCGATACTCGGCAGGCTATCGCATTTTTCTCTTCGGTCATTTTTCTTTTTCAATTCAGCATTTTGTCAACATTTTCCCATTGCGCTTAATATGACTGGCCAATGTTGGTATTAGCATGAAAATAATTCGACACACTTCGATAAACGAGCCTCGGCTTTCGATTAATCCAGAGGTACGCCGAGGACGACACTTAACCAAAGGAAAATTGCCTTTCAGCTGCCTGAAGCGCGAGTTCCCGATGGAGGTGGCCCTCACCATGTGGGAGTCATGCTGGGTGAACTACCTTACCGACCACTTCCATCTCTTCCTCTGCCTCGCGATAATGTGCGTCTACGCGGACGACGTGGTCGCGCAGGACCTGCGCACCGACGAGATGCTGCTGCACTTCAGTTCGCTTGCGATGTACATGGACGGGACGGTGATAGTGCGGAAGGCCCGTGGTCTCCTACACCACTTCCGACTCCTCGACAGGCTACCCTGCACCCTGGCCGGCCTCTGCAGGCAATGCGGCCCCGGCATGTGGGACAGTAGCCACGACCCCGTAATCGAGTGCATCGGTCACGGGGATAAGCAGTGCCCGCACTCCGAGACGTATTCGCGCTCCAATATCGGCTGACTCGGGGAAGCCTGACGAACGGGACTCCTTTACGACCGAATCTCCTTGGCTGACGTTTGCCGTTACCTGTACGCGAATTCAATTAAATGCGTCACACGTAATTCCTAATGTCCTGTAATTCCTAATTCTTGGATGGAAGCGCGTTGTCCGTTGTCCTTTAATAATCGACAACGCTTTGCCAAGATCCATCGTAGGGATGTGATTGTCATTAGGCTTCGTTCATCTCACATTGATCCACTTTTCTCTTGGAATTCCCCAGCAAGGAATTCGATCGATCGACAACCGATTCTCATTTTATAAGGAATATTATTATAGATATTGATTTAAAAAGCTAGGTTTAGGGAGAGAGAGAGGGAGGAGTGAAAGATTTTTCGTCTTTTTTTTTTTTTTTTTTTTTTAATTTTATTTCTTATAGCACGTAGTAGCTATAAAATTGTATAACTGCACGGGGCTTATCGTTAATGCTCGAAAGTATCATGGAAAGATGAATTGTTTAATGAGTACGCGGATAAAATATTTAATTGAAAAACAAAGATACGAATTTTTTCGGTGTGCTATAACCAAGTCGTTTCTTACATAAAATCGCTTATTATACTTAACATACGTCGTTGTAATTTCTTTTATTTTTGAACATTGAATATTTAATCTTAATTTAATATATATTCTTTTAAATAAATTTTATGTATATATATATATATATATATATATATATATATATATATATATATATATATATATAATGTTGAAACTGTAAAACTTCTTAAGAGCGAAGGAAAATTTGAAAGAATAAAAAGAAGAAAAGGTTACGACCGTCGTTGGCTTATGAATAATCAAGCTTGATAATTCTTAATGTAAGAGCTCAAAAGTTTTGTTATTTATATTATCTCATGGAAGTTACCGTACTCGACTACATTATGCAAAGAGTTTGTGAGTATCAATGTATATGTGATTATACCGGTTGTCCATGTAAGGTAAAATAAACGAGGATAACCATTTAATGAAATGCTTATCTTGTTAACTTAAAGCGATCAATTTTATGAAAACAAAAGTCACCCAGTGATATTAAACATCTTCGAATAATAATTTTCAATATTGATTTCCCATCGATAAGCCATTAATCATCTTTAATTTGAATTTTGTATATTACTGCTTTCTTTTTATAATCAATGTTGACATTCCATATTTTTGACGTACTTGTACATTGGAAAGCTTAAACATTTTGTTTGTATAGAAGCACAAACTTTCATTTCAAATATTGTGACAAAAGTCTGCGTACTTCAATTAAAAATCCTATTCTCAAATGTAATTATTATTTATGAACTTTGTAAAGAAAAATTGCAGTTTTTTTTTTAAAGTTAGAGAAAAGAAGTTGAGTCAAAGTCGGAGGTATAAAAACCTCACTGACATTATTATGTAGTATACTTACCAAAAATTCGATACGAACATTTATAAACAATGTCAAAGTATTATAAATATATATTGTTGAAAAAATTTCACTGTATAGATATGAAAAATTGTAAGGTTATCTCTTGACTTTGTCAAAAAATTAATTATAAATCTCCTACAAAATTTATGATAAATGTTAACATTGTTATAATACATATAAAACAATTGGATGATTTATTAATAATTTACATGAAAAGTGTAATCGATAATTAAATGGTTATTCTTTTCAATGGAGAGTGCCAATAAGTGTTTATAAAGATTTATGCGTACAATCTGTTGCGCGAGAAAACAAAGTTAAATGAAATTTTCAAATAAATCGTCACTTTTTCCACCAGCTTGACGACACATTAGCGAGACCCGTAACATTTATCTGATAAAATTTGTCATTCTTTCGCCTTCTAAGTATTTTATACTTGAATGATAATATTATCCTTTATAAATATTGTATTCAGAAACATTTTTTGAGGAAACGCACTAACGAATGGAAAAATACGAAATATTTCTTATATATTTAATCATAAATATTGTATATAAAGAAAATGTTGATCTTGAATGATATGCGAACGCGCACTAATTACATACTAATAAGTCACCTAAGATCATGAGGTACGCGTAAATGTCAGTTAAAACATCATAAATGATAAAAAGTAAGCCGTATAGATTATGTACTTATGTACTTAATTATGATTATGTAATTATGTACATTATTATTAAAAACAATTTCATCGAACTGGAGAGAGCTCAATGATTAATTAATTACATTAGCTTAGATAATATGACATTTCAATGTTTTCGTTAAACTTGTATGGGAAAGACGTCATGCTGATGTCTTATTTAAGTTTGAATAAATGTACGAATCAATTGTCATTATAAACTTGGGATAGAAAGCATAAAAGTTATACATTTTTAATCTGTACATTTTTTAACGAAGTAACATTAATATTACGTAAATAAACTCGTATGGGAAAAGAAAATGTCTTCTGATATTAACGCCATTTTCGAGCAATTATAGAAAATCCACTTTTCATCCACTTTTCATCCACTTTTCATCCACTTTTCATCCACTTTTCATCCACTCTTCATCCACTTTTCATTCACTTTTCATCCACTTTTCATAATTTTCTAATTCCTTAAAGCCGATTGCAATTTTGCCCATTCGCAATTTTTTCTATGCAAATGGAAAAAAAAAATCTATATACATACTGTAAAGTATTAAGAAAGCTTATGCTTTGAGGATTCAAGTAATCACTTTTGTTATCAGGTACTTACTATTTTTGGTATCGTATTGCATTTTAAATAAAATCTTATTATAAAGATTAAAAATTGTACGAACAAATGAATTCAAATGAAAAGAGAACAAAATTTTAGGGATTGCATTACTATACGATTTCTATTTTATTTAAAATAAAATTAATTAATTTAACTATAATTAAAAGTCCAATGAAAGTAAACTTTTAAAAGTTCAGTAAGAGCGATTCTAAATAGTTTTGCAATATATATATATATATATATATATATATATATATATATATATAATTTATAATTTTTATTGATATTCTAATAATGTAGAGAATGCTTATCAAAACAATAATTTCTTCTTATTATCAATTTACTTTATAATGATTTATATTAAGTGAAATTTCTAATTTTCACTTTTTCTTTGAAAAATATTCAATCGTTAATTACCATTTTAGAATCATCGAACTTTTTAGAACCCTTATTAAGTCCCTTTCATTTAGAGTATTTCATTTACACATTTTCCTAATAAGTTTCAACATTATTAAATTACAACAGCCATTTAGTCGAATAACAGTTTGTACGTTTCGAAATCAAAAGCAATTGACAGTTAAACAAAGCAGTGCTCCAATAGATTTTTTGCTCCAATAAATTCTTATCATATGCAAATGAATTTAATACTATAACATAAAACATAAAGATTACTAGAATTAAGTATAAAAACAATTAATTAAATAAAGAATGAAGGAAATGTGGTTTTAGCACATAAAAAGACTGATGTCAACAAACTATAAATACGTTTATAAAACAGAAGAGAAAAAGAAGTTGAAACGGTAGCACAAACGATTTATACTCGATTGTATGATACAAGAATATTTATCCTCGAAAGCCCTTTATCAAACTTTTGACATAATAATCAATTGAAAATAAAGTGTATAAAATTATTTGTAATACACACACGCACGCGCGCGCACACACACACACACACACACACACACAAAATTGTCAGAATTCAATAAAACAGTGATATCTTGAATAATGCACAATTAATTTCATCGATACAACAATTATAGTATTAGTCAAACATATTTTAGGTTTTAACATTTTTAAAACCTGTCTTTTTAAGGTCAATATTATGCATGAAAAGATACATTATGAATAACTGAAATGTATTGATATTCATATCAATATGTAATATGTAATATTTATAATAAAATAATTATTAACGCATTAATATATTCATTAATCGCTTCATATTGCTAATGAGATTTATGTACATACGATCACTTAACAATTTTATAAAATTACCCATACACGCATGCAAGTACATGCATTGTAAAAGATAGGAAACATTGCTCTCAATATGCGACTGAAGTAGCAATATTAGAAACAACTTACCGTTCGCATATGCATACAATGAAAAATATGTGCGACAGAGCATCGTATCATCGCGTGTCACTTAATTATAACGAGAAATATCGTTAAGCGAAAATAAATTCAGCTTTCTTTTTTCTGTCAATTATTTAAGGCATTATGGGGACTTTAAACGAAACGCGCGTTTTGGTTTTTATCGCTCAATTGCGACAGTAATACTCGCGAATAAATTTTTATTTACTTTGTTATAATTTTTATCCGAATTTTATAGACTTAATAATTCTTAAGAATGAATTTTATTTTGAAATCATAATTTATACGTCATACGTCGTCGTTCCCTAAGATTCGTATATTATCATTTTATACCAATGCAAACTTGATAAAAGCTTGATACTTTACGCTCTACATATTCCGCAGTTTAGTAATAAAATCTTACGTTTATTTAATCAAAAGTTATGTATTATATTTCATTAATGGCTGTCATTCGAGCTACTTTATAAAACTTAAGAATTTTGTAATAGTAATTAATAACTGCGCGATATGTCAAGGAAATGTACGGGATGGGCACGTAACGTATGCATCATGAAATCCGATAATTTCAAGTAACTAAGCAGCCGTAATTATTACGCCATTCGCCGAGCGGTAAAATATTTTTGTTACGTAGATATCGGAGTAGTAGCAAAGTCATAACGACTCGATTAGACTTTGTTCGTACTCCCGTCATACAATGCACATTGAATATCGTTTATCATAGCACTCGGTAATACCGCAAATGTCTTTACTCTTCGGTCTTCCTCTCTACTTATGCAAGGAATGAAATTCAAGGTCATTTTATCATATGTTACATTTAAATGTGTATTTTATCGTAAGGGATTAAGGATGAAAGGGGAGCATAGATTCGGCGAGGCCAAATTGGCCAAGCTCGACGTTATAAACAAACAAAAAAATACAGAAGAAAAAAAAAACAAAATAAAAACAATTATACGAAGGTTATTAGTCATATTACTATACTTGCAGAAGGACTGGATAATCCGCTGAAACGATATCAAATTGAGAAAAACGAGTTTTAAGGCGAAGATACAATTCTAATTCTGATAATTAAGTAGTTTATACCCCTAGTAGACTAACAGTTTCAAGTTCCTGTGTATTTGTGTTGATTTTATTACAACAAAAGAGTTCAATATGTTTCTTAAAGTAACGTAAAGCTTTAATTGATAATTAATTAACGCTGCTATTAATATTTCACTATATTTAAATCATATTTTTTTAATTAAATTATCTATAATATTATCATTGTTTAATTTAAGGTCCTCGCTAAGGTCATTGCTCTGTTTACTATTCTTTTCTTTCTATTTCTTCTCAAAGAGAAAATTAAAAGAGACATTTTCTATAGCAATCTATCGTTCCCAACAATTATTAAATTTCTCATAATAAAACTCTACGGATGCATTCAACTATTAGTGTTTCTTATAATGATAGGAGTTTTACAAATACCGAAAATGAAAGGCATTGAGCACAAGTATATAAATGATTTTACTATGCTATCTTGCCGCCTCGTTAAATTATTTCAATATAAATTAATTCGTGTTTGGATCTAAAAATCTTTTAAAAGGTATAGGAATTACAAAAGGGAATATAATATAAATTCACGTATACATAATTTGGTTTGTTCGTCAAAAAATTTATTACACTTCTTTTGAAAAAATATATATTTTTTACATAGCACTATCAGCAGAAAACTATTATACAAGTTTACATGAATAATCACGCAACTTGATTTATAAGTATCTTAATCCGTTTATATATATTCTATATATGTATACAGTAGTTTCACCAGTGTATTAAAAAGCTACAGGAATTTTATGTTTATCACAATTTATATTCCATTGCGATGGACTTATTAATATTATTTTTATTATAAATATAATTCAATATAGAATTGACATTTACTTTAACAGCGGATAATATTTTCTTTTGCGCTTATATTTCTATTTCCTTTTATTTTTTTTTAATTTTTACAACAAATTAACAAGCCTTTTATTTTCATTTCGAAAATCACCATAAACTTCTTTTAATATTGCTTTCAAAATACATAATTATAAGAGAATTTCATGGATTGTAAATTACGATTCTATAATTGAATAAAAAAAAAAAAAAAAAAAGAATGAAATTACAATTTATATACAACGTAGATTATTAATAAATAAAATTGTAAACTATAAAATCTAAATAACTCGTATTTTACAAACTTTAAAAATAAAAGTATATAAAATTATATATACAATTATGACTGCATAATATAACTATGTAATTGAGTATCTAGTATTAATTAACAATAATTTCTCAGTTTGAATCGTTATGTATGCGCATGTGTGTGTATGTGTGTGTAATATTATAATTAGAGAACGTAATATGCACATTTCTGATGAAAAAATTTCTTCAAACGTATTGTTCGTAACACGATATTTCAAAATACAGAATATGTATATTAGTATTCGTTTCAATTATTTTTATGACTCTTTATTGGAAACTAGAGTTTGTACGTCCCTATTTGTATTGGTAAATCTTTGTTAAGAAATGTGTATATTATTTATTAAATACTTCACATTTATTATGCTATATATATTTAATATAAAAACACATGTTTGTACAATTCCATTTTAGCACTATTGTGATTATCAAAATTAAATTTAAATATAGTTTATAACTTAAAGTCTTCTTAAAAATAAATTTGATATTAGACAGTTGCTATATTGCCATTGCATTCTTCAAAATACATTATTATTAATAATACACATATAAAGATAACACACAATTAAGGCCAACTTGTTGGTCGTCTTAATATATGAGATTTCATGTAAATTTATTGTCAATTAATTCGTATATAAGATAAAGTAATTTGGCAAAACACTAATCAGTTGTCTAACTCGCTACAAGACATCAAATACAACATGAAAATTTCTTCTCGTCTTTGCATTGCTTTCCTATCACAGTAACAATAAAATGTGCACCTTCTGCATCGGTACGAGGACATCGATATAATTAGCCAAAATCAATTATACGAATTTTGAATTTACCGTCGCAATAAAATCCTCATAACATTTATAAATCTATACATTTCTATCCAAGTACTTTCAATACATAGATAGAATAAATTCTAAACCCGATATATTCATTCAACAATTGAACAAAATTTGTACTAAATATGCATATTTTAAAAGAAGAAAAATTTTTGTAAAATTTTCCTACATCTTATTTGCACCTTGGAAAAGATTTTTAATCCGACTAAACTTATAAAATTATTATAGTTCATTCGTAAAAATCAAAATGCACCATCTAATAATCGAACGACGATCTTCTTACATTTCTTATCGGCATTCATTGACATTACTATTAGTAAAAGCTAGACGACAAATGCTTATCGATTAAGTTAATCGATACGAGAGATACGCAAACGATCGACCAGAGGAAAATAAATATCAACCAGTAATGACTTGCGAATGGACTGGCAAACTTATTCGTTACTTCTTGCGTGAAAACTTGAGCGGTCTGTTTTCTTGCATTGTAAACCAAAAAGGTGGGTATCAAATATTGGATCCCAGCACCCGCGTACGAACCAGTAATGCTTACCAGTACCGTCAAATTTTTTGTACTCATGGCTATCAAATACGGAGGCAATACAGCCAGTATTGGAAAGATTAACTTGGACAGGCAAAAATTGTAACTCTCATTATCACGAAAAAATAGGTACTGCAAATTATTCCGAAGAGTTATAGCAATAATGGGAAAACTGGTACTGAGCGTGAATACGGGAAAAAGAGCGAGAAAGTATTCTATAATGACTATGAAGATATTGCTGCTAGTCGAGCAATTCCTAGGTCCAAAGTCTAATGTGTAAAGGTCATCTAAATGCTCAAAGGCAAAAATTCCTGTGAGCGCTAGCAAAAGATAGAAGAAGGAAATTAATAAAAAATCGAAGCCTACTGATCTGTTAAGCATAGATTTGTTTGAGATTGGAGTGAGCAACGCTGGTAGAGAATGATGGCACATAAAAGAATAAACGCATACACCAAACAGCCCAGGCAATCCTGCAAAAATAAAGACAATTTCTATAATGTAAAATTATTTATCTTATACATCCACTGAGAAGGGGATTGAACAAATTAGTCCTAATTTATTCAACCAATAATTATTTAACTATCTAATCAGCAGTACAGAAAAGAAGAAAATTTCAATAAACAAAGTCAATGAATTAAATATATTGTGTTGAAATAATCAGCTCAAACTAATGGTAAATATAACAAATTAATCGTAACTTAAATAATATATTGTTTGGTATGTCGATTGAAACTTTGGCAACAAAGTTTATTTATCAAACTTTATTAAACTCGGCTATGAATTTAGTTATAAAAATACTTACCGGCCGAATCTGCTTTGGACGGTTTTCCTTGTGCACCATCGATTATTAATTTCTGTATCGTATAAAGAATCATTATCATAAATGCCAACCATCTCATCATCGTAGTTAATATTTGCAAATATAATGTCTTTTGAACATTAAAGAAGGCGAATGGACCAAGTGATAAAATAAATACTGTCTACAAAAGTAATAAGAAACATTAAATTTTCAAAAATTGCCTAAACACAACTTATTGAAATTCGTATTCAATCAATAAATAATGTTATTATTTAATTTTTTTTTATATCTTTTTATAATTACTTATAAGTTTATAATCGAAAACATATTAAAAAATGCTCGTGCAAATATATTTATTTATAAAAGAAGGAAAAAGGCTTTGTAGTTATTAAATTATTGCAATTCATTTATCGTGAAACGATAAAATCTCTAATTTAGCCTTTAATCGAGCATTAGATTAATTTTTAAATATCGATTGAAAGAAGGTAAGGAAAAGATATTTACTAAAAATAGTCGGTAGGCGTCAAATCTGCTCAAATTAATTGACTCCCAGCAATGTTCATTATCTGGAATGATATCATTGCAGGTATAATTCTGTGGAATGTAGGTGCAGGAGACATCAGCGACAGATTTGGCGATAGCCGTTCCATAAATACTCAGATCTCCGTATAAGTAAATAGCTAAGCACGCATAGAACATTATTGTTCCAATTTTGTTGAAGAATATCGAGGCCATTTCACCCATTTCGATTTTGTCATCTATACTGTAATAGCGATATGACACATCGATGCGTTCCGAATTCTTTAAGGATGGTGTTACAAGGGGTGTGTCTTCGGAATCAGAAGTCGAGGGTCCTACAGCCTGCATTGCCTGAAAGGAAATTTTTCAAGAATAAAATTAATGTTCAACTGGTTCTACATTTACTAATAATTATATATCGTGTATCGTTATCATCATTTATCTTTCCCAATGGAAAAATGTTATTAGAAATTTGATTTTAATGTTATAATCTTTTAACGTAACTTACATAACGCTTTAAGCATTAAAATAACGTTTGTTTCAAAATTGTTTGTCATATATAGCATTAGTATCATATACAGTAGTAGTAGTAGCAGAAGTATTAATGGTAGTAATAAAGGTAGTAATAGTAATAACCTCGGTCTCTGATCCATCGATCGGTCGCTCTTGTGCTTGACCAATTCTCATAAGTTCTTGAATTTTCGTCCATGTTAGAATAGCATTAGCCGAAGCCATTGTCTCTATTACAAATGTTACGGTAATGAAACTGCAATTAAATCATGGTATATTTAAATATCAATGCCCTCTCGACAATAGGTGCAAAAACATATTGCGTCATTAAAAAATATATTTTATCAACCTTATAAGGGCCAGAACTAATATTACAAACGAGCCTAGAAGCCATCCTGCACGACCCAAGACAGCTGGAAGCGCTAAAGCTCCAGTTCCAACGATGATATTGAAAACATAGATCAGTCCAACCTGTAAGAATAATTCTCCATATAGTTCATCGATTAAATTAAACAAACATATTCTAAAGCAAGTATCGGATCAAATCGAATATCTGTACTACAAAATTTGTCAAATTTTGAAATTAACGTTTGGCTCCACATATTACTTTGGAACTACTAAACGAAAAATAACGATGATCACTCGGCTATCGCGAATAAGCTCTTACCCATTTCTTAAAATGTGCCTCCAAGTCCAAATAAAAATGAAAAAGACAGAAGCTCGTTGTCGCGCATTTGCCAATCAATCACAAGCTGTTTGAATTCCGATAAACATAACCCCCTCGAATTCCAGGAAATGTAATGCTCCAATTTCCAGGCGAGATATATATATATATATTGCATCGACCTTCGGAGTAGGCCTACAACAAACCAACGAGCGAAAATTTTACATCACCCCGACATTCTGCAACTAATCTCCATCCCTCGAGCACAGATTACCGAATACCCAAATTACTCACGCAGATGTTTCACAAGCCCAAACAATACTTCGTACAATGTTTTCACAACGATTTTGAGTTGAAAAACATTGTCACTTCCTCGATTAGCTACCGTAATCAGCGATCGACCGTTCGCATAAACAAACGAGCATCGCATCCAAACACGAGACCCCCCCCCCGACCCGGCCCCGTCCTCGTCACTTCCCAAGCCCCGCTTGCCACTATCGTCCAACTATCGCTGGAACATCCCGTCCCTAAAGACCAAGCAAACAACATTCCTTACCCAAGTCGAGTATCGCTGCTCGTCGCTCCTTACTCCCGTCATCGTAACTCTATCGCTGTTGCTCAACGAGTGGCAGTCAGCACCATCCGCAGCTGCAAATCCTCGATCTCTTTAACCAATAGCCCAATAGCGCACTTGCAGCAACCACCAGACGAGCAGACGAAATCCATTCGTTTTTCGAAACGCCTCTTGGCCGGCCACTCATCTAACAGCAGCTCGCGCGATCCCCTACTGACCCGTGACCTTGTCCATCCCTCCACCGAGTCTCGGCGCCCTCATCATCGGCTCGCTGCAATTTCGTCGGTAAACGCGCTCGGGGCTATTTTCGAGTGGAGCGGCTGGAAAGTTCATGGTGACGAAGCGTCTGCGCAGCTTTCCTGGAGCCCTTCCAGCTGTAACAAATGAGATGAAAGCGCGGTTTTTCAAATGCTCCTAATCTCTCTCTCTCTCTCTCTCTCTCTCTCTCTCTCCGTGTCCTGATTTTATATGGCCCGTGGCGGCTTCCGTATCAACGTTGTTTCCAAGAAGAGACGAGCTAATGCCGAGGAAACATATCCGCGGCTTGGATTAATGCCTTGAACGGTGACGGAAAGATCCAACCTCTTTAAGAGCTGCTCGTGGTTAGCGATGGCTGCCAGATAATATTAAATCGACGACGAGCCAGAGAAAAGCAACGATGAAATATTCGCCATTATATTGTAACTTGAATTAAACGTCGATTATTAATGGGATAATTTTGGCCGACCCGACGATCGCGATTACGTCGACTGCAAGGCCTTAACTACCTCCCCCTAACCTCTCCCCCACTTCTTCACCTTCAATTTATCATACGCAATGTAAATCCTATGTAAAAATTATTGGAAATTTCACAGAGAAGAGAATAGATTTAATAGTCGAAATAATAGCTTAATAATACTGGTAATAATTTTGTCGTTAATTGTCAAAAAGCTGGGAAGAATTACAGTGCAATAAAAGGGGACAATTATGCTCTGATGTAAAGTAAGGAAACCCCTGCGCTTATTATGGCTGTTGAACGAAAATTGTATTTCAACTTTTCCGGGACTTTTCATTTTCTAAGAAATCACGAATTTACAGAGATCGGCAAGAACTGTCCGGCGTATCGAACCGTTAACGCGCGGGCGCTCCACAAAATAATATACCAATAATTTTGGCAGGAATAAGGAGGACGAGTTTGTCCCTTCGTACTTGCAGTCCCACTTCTCTCTCTCTCTCTCTCTCTCTCCCTCTCTCTCTCTCTTTTTTTTTTTTTTTTTATCGTGAATCCCTCACCTTTGACTATTACGTGATATCAATTACAGCGATAAACGGACACTTGGACTCGGCATTTCGTTTCGCGCGCCTCACGCACACTAGCGAACTGCCAGCGCTCATTAACGACAATTATTAAACAAAATTCCACATTGCGACGGAATCTTTATAATTAAAGATGACGAAAGAGTAGTTAAACAAGCCTTTGCGGAATTTTTCGACAAAAACAAGACTCGCTTTTTCTTTAATTCCCTCGCGCCACTCGCGTTCTTACGTTGCCGTACCAGCGAAACGACCGTCTATTTTAAAAAACATTCGGCTCCTCGCGTATAAAAACCCCGAGCCGACGTTGAAAACGTAATATAACGTAACGTACACGGCGTGCCGATAAATGTAATAAAACAAGCCAAGCCTCGCGTAACTAAAAATGCACACTTGCCGTTTGAATTCGACTATCCCCATCCCACCCACCGAGCCAGCCGCCACCGCCAGCACCGCCGCAGACACGCCTCGTCCCGCGCGTTCCTAAGCGGCTCGTTAAAACCTTAAAATTCTCTTTTTCCTCTTATTTAGCAACCACTATTCGATCTCGCGCTAGCCCCCCCCCCCCTCACTGCCATTGCACCTGCTCCTGAGAAGAATTTGGCAAGGAAGGAGGAAGCCAGCGAGCGATCTTTGGACTGGCGATTTTTTTCTCCGGTCGGCTCCGCGCCAATCTTCGTCCATATTCCCCCACCCCAACCCATCAAACACCACGATAGTCTACTACTGCGTACGCCACAGTGTCTTTTACGTGCTTTTTTCGACCAGAGTTAGTTGCATGACGAGTGTCGAAATCTCTCGGTCGTATCAGGAGCGCAGACAACGCGAGGAGCCAGCTCAAGGAGTTACCTACCCAATCCTGACACGTCAGCCGCCGTACTCTACGGTGCTCGACCTCCTGCCCCCATAGCCTTCGCTCGGCTCTCCGCCGACCCACGGTCAAGAGAGAGAGATACGATGGCATTTTTAATTAAGCGCGAGTCCTGAGTTTTGGTCGTGCGAGTCAATGATATCGAAGAATCGATAATCTGGGAAAACTTTGGGCTTTTGGTCGTAGCGACGAGTGAGCATTCGCAATTTAAAACTTCTAATTACCGAGAATTATTTTTCGTACAGAGTTGAATAATAAAATTTTTTTTTTTTTTTTTGGCTGCTCATTGGTAACGGCTGTATTCTCGGTGTGTTTCTACTTTCGCATACTAATGCCATATTTTCTCCGTGACGTATCTTCTTACCTTGTACTTACTTTGCTTCTTGCCACGTCCAAGTCGAACATTCAAGATTAATGATTAATTGGCGGTATATAACGCCGGCTATAACGAGAACTTTTTCGGCTTATAAGCGGCGTAAGATGACGATGACGATGACGATGAAGATGAAGATGAGGATGACGATAGCGGCACACCAACGACGTATCGGAGGAAAGGAAAATGCACGGCAAAGTGATTTTTCACGAGGTGAAAAATTTGTGCACGCACCTGTGGCCGAATCGAATCTACCGGCTTCTTAAATTTATCGCGATTGTAAAGTTAATATTTCACGCTCTGTTTGGCAAGATATTTTGCCGCGATGATGAACGAACGACCGAGCTTATGTTGATAATCATCAACGGCACTCCTCTACTATGGACTCATAAAACTTACTTGGTTAAGCAGAAACGGCTATCGCCAGCACAAATGCGCGAGACGTAAAGAGTCGCACACTTTTGAATTATCTACGTAAATGCGTGTATTTTGATATTTTTAATTTTGAATATAAGTCGCTCGCGCGAAAAGAATTTTAATGGATATTAAGTTTGACGAGCTATTTGCCATTTATATTGAAATACCACAATTTTCTATATTTTCTATGCACATACATATTGAAATGATAAAAACATATCATTTAGTTTTTTACTCAACGAGCGCTTATTATTATCAAACGTCACTCCCATTTAGTTTTTTACTCAACGAGCGCTTATTATTATCAAACGTCACTCCCTATTATTATCATTATCATTATTATCATTATTATTATTATTATTATTATTATTATTATTATTATTATTTCAATAAAAATTGACTTTTGCGTAATTTATAAAGTCGCCAAGCACCCATTGAATGCAGTAGAGACCATCAATTATGGACATAATATTATTTACTTTGCATCATACTCTGCATATACATGTTAACGACACGCGTTAAACTCAGTTTCATTGAAAATTTATTATTTTTATTCTTTTTATTTACGAGTTCTTGATAAATTAATTTCTCGATTCTCATCGATCGACAGCGACCAGTCTTTTAGCAGAATCTATCGTTTTATTCAAATTGCTAATGTCATATTATCCTTTCGATAATAATCGTCGTTCACTATTATCACTGCAATTAGCATGGCGGTGAGGGGGATGGGGAGGGGGGGGAGGGGGGAAACCTGTAAAATTAACGCTAATAAATTATGTTTTGCATCGAGTATCCTATGTATACGTGTATATTTATATGTATACATAAATTTCAATTACAAAGAGTCTCAATTGAATGACAATGAGTAAAAATATATCTTACTGCTATTATCGTTTATTGATGATATTGTTCTTATAATTCAGGCGATTACATGTCATTGCTGAATTATTATTAATATAAAAATGTTTGTTGGTTCTGCAATCCCTATAAAATTCTAATAAAATAATTTTATGCTCGTTTAAATCATAAAAGACACTGCGAAAAAAAATTACTCGTATTCCTTGAAGCTATGAAAATTATTAGATGACTTATGTTTTTATTATTACACTTTACTTACCATCTTTTTATCGACCATTCGACCAATATAATTAATATAAGAAATTGTGTCGTATGTACACGCCATGTTTTTAGACGGGAAATAAAAAAAAAAATTTTTCATTTGTTATTTATGATTATTATTTAGTTGAATAGTAACTTTAATTCATGATTAAATCATACCAATCAGTAATTTAATGTCGCGCGTGGTAATAAAGAAATTGATAAAATCTACGATTTTAAATATAAAAATTGACGAGACTCGTTATCCGGATGCATGCCAAATTCTACTTTGCCAATAATCCTTAATGTAAAAACGTAATTTACGGTTACGAACGATTGTAAACTACCCACAACTTATTACGCTTATTAATCGGGCGATCGATTAAAATATTTCCAATAAATTCATATTAGCATGACAGATATTGGTCTTTGACATCTTCCCTGTCAAAAATGTTGCATTAATGGGAGAGAAAAACTTTCTGAAAATATTGACCCCTCGAGCGAAGAAATTCTTTATAAGCCTCCACTTGCATACTTTCCAAAGTTCGTTGACACGTGCCAACGGCTTTCCTATTCTCGTGCTCTCCTGATGATACGAGGCAGCGATTTTTATTTCCCATCGCGCAAATCCATCCAGAGAAAGAAAGACAAACGACGATGTTGGAACAAGATATCGAGGACACGCGCATGCGACGACGAGTGAAACGATGGAAAAAAAAAGAAAAAAAATTATTGAGCAAACGTCTGAATAATTTGTCGTTATCATTATCAACTCTATAAGTAGCTACTCGTACATTATTATATAAAGTACAACATAATTTATTAGTAGAAGTGCAGCAACTTAGCAGTATTAAATAATAAAAATTATCAAAAATTAAATTAGTGATTAATAGCTTAGAATAAAGAACAGTGTACAGAAACAGACTTATTAATTGAAAATAACTTTTATTGAATCGAAAGTATAAACCTAGTCGATATATATCATCCTTAAGAGATAAAAACTATCGTACGTTCAACCGCGAGTCTTATAAATTACAAAGATGAATGACAAAAATGAATAGGGTAGGTAGAGGGTGACGTGAGGTTGGATGGAAGGTTGGGAGGGTGGGAGAAGGGAAGGAGAAAGAATGTGAAACAGGATATAAATTGTGGTCGAATAGTATCCTACACGTGTATATGTCTGTTTGTTTGTGTGTGTCTCAGCAAACGGGAGACAATTATTTAATAATTATTAGAGATCAAAAACAAAATAAAAAAGACAAAAAAAAAATTAATTCAATATCTCAGTCCTTGATGACTTAACAACATACTACAAACCTTTTTGTTTTTGTTTTCATTTTTCGTTCTTCGATCGAAGGAACGAAGGAAGACAATAAGAAATCAAGTATTATAGGGGGCGGGAGGGTGGGAGGGGCGGGGGGGGAGCGGCGTTAAAGAATTTCGTATACTAGAAGAGTATTTTCTTTTTTCATTTTTCAAAGCATTCATAAAAGCACAAGAAGCCAAGATACAGTGCGTGTTTTTCAGGTTTTTATTTTTATAATCCCATAAGTCTAATGTAGTAGTCTTTACGTCGTGTGTACTTGAGAGTGGTCTTGCACAATACAATGGGAATAAATTATAATACTTTGGCTACGCTTGCGGGGTACGAACACTCCAAAGTGCTCCGAGCGCAAACGAGGCTCCTCCCATCTTTCCTCCAGATTAATTTTTTTTTTTTTTTTTTTTTTTCCAAGCTGGTGGTTACACATATCGAGCATGCATATTTTCCCTTTAAATATTTTCAAGAATATAATGTTAAAAAAAGAAAAAAATATATAAAAAAATAAATAAACGAAGGAAAGGAGGAAGAAACCTTGCCTACGCTTACCCTTTCTCGCCTTTTAATCATTATTATTAATTTTTTTTTTCTTCGTTATTCCGTAATGTCCTCGATTATTTCGGTGTGTTGTAGCCGTATAAAATAGGAAATGATCGAGTTAGGGTGCCCCAACTCTTTACCCGGAATGATTGCGCCCTCGCGACGATGTCGGAAAAACATTTAAAAAACAAAAAACAAAAAAACTACAGAGAAACACAATTTTCCCTCGAATAATAAAGTATAGTGATAAAAAAAAAAAAAAAAAAAAACAAACAAACAATAAACAAACAAAAAAACAATGCTCACAATGCTTCATGTTTATTGTAGTACGTTTTCTCGCCTTCATTACACGTTTTTCCACATTTTTTTCCCTCTCATTTTAAATACACAACTTTCGTGCGCGAGGTTTCCTAGCTAAACAGAGTGGACACGATGGGGCTACTCCGTGCACATGTGTGTTCGTATACGCGTGCTTCCGTGTGTGGTTTCTCTCTCTCTCTCTCTCTCTCTCTCTCTCTCTCGCTCACTCTGTACGTTCAATGTGTCCGTGTGGTGTGTATGCTCGTGTGCCGTCTTGGCACTTCGTCCTTTAGTTCCGACGTTCAAGAGAGCCGAATTTCAAAAGCAGACGACGACGCGAGCGAATAAGGAGAAGGCCAAAACAATAATCCCAGTCCGGATGTCGGTGATGCTCGCACCTCGTCGGATGCCCTCTAAACGATCGAAAAACACGAGAAAAAATACCACGCCGTCGAGTACATAAGACATACACGAAGAAGAGCTTTTTAATTGTTTAATTTTTTTTTTTTGTCTTTTATCAGTTATAGAGCGAATGTATAAGAAATAGGAATGATGCGCTTCCGCGTCGATCGCTGATGCTGATGCCACCTCTTCGCGGTCCCCTTCGGTCGTCGTTCCTCGGAATACCGTCACAATCCTCGTGGGTGAGTAGTCTCACGTTCATCAGTAGCTGTGTGTGCACGTGTAGACCGCTCTCTCTCTCTCTCTCTCTCTCTCTCTCTCTCTCTTTCACTCGCACACACACTCTGTCTCTCTCGCTGTCTGTCTGTCTGTCTGTCAAATTGACGACAAACAGCCACTCCCAAGAGTTTGGAGAAACGCTTTACCGAAAGAGACACATTCGAGCTATGTATGTGTGTGTGGGTATGTGTGTTGGTGTAGTCTAGCCCGCATGCACTTCGCAAATGCGCCGTACTGCCTCGCCCCAGCAATGGCGACTTTTCTTCGTTTTCATCTTCATTTTCTTCTTTTGTTTTTGTTTTTGTTTTCTCTCTCTCTCTCTCTCTCTCTCTCTCTCTATCTCTCTCCGTATCTCTTTCTTTTTCTCTTTTTTGTCGACTTTAGAAGGGAATGGAGGGTGAAAGGAAGAAGGGAACGACGAGCGGTCGGAATTGGCGAATGACAGGTAATGAGAAAAATGTGATCTTATGTTTTATGAATACGTGTGTATAGGGATGCGAAAGGGTTGAAATGGAAGGAATAGGATGATTGAAGAAGGCGCTAGCTCTTCTTTTTTTTTTGTTGATCTCTCTCTTTTCTCTCTCTCTCTCTCCCCGTCTCTCCTCGTCTCATGTTGCTGTGTCCGTCTGTCTGTCCTCTTACACTCCTCCTGACGCCGGGCATCTCCGCGCGGGCACAGCTTAGAAGCACTTCCTGTGCACGATGGACGGACCTGACTCATCGTACTCCTGCTTGGAGATCCACATCTGCTGGAAGGTCGAAAGCGAGGCGAGAATCGAGCCTCCGATCCATACGGAGTATTTCCTCTCGGGTGGTGCGATGATCTTGATCTTCATGGTCGAGGGGGCGAGAGCGGTGATCTCCTTTTGCATCCTGTCGGCGATGCCAGGGTACATGGTGGTACCACCGGAGAGCACCGTATTGGCGTACAAGTCCTTACGTATGTCGACGTCGCACTTCATGATGGAGTTGTAGGTCGTCTCGTGAATGCCGCAGGCCTCCATACCCAGGAACGAGGGCTGGAATAGTGCCTCGGGACAACGGAAGCGCTCATTTCCGATGGTGATGACTTGGCCGTCGGGTAACTCGTAGCTCTTCTCGAGGCTCGACGAGGAGGCAGCGGTGGCCATCTCCTGTTCAAAGTCAAGGGCGACGTAACAAAGCTTCTCCTTGATGTCACGGACAATTTCACGCTCGGCGGTCGTCGTGAATGAGTATCCGCGCTCCGTGAGGATCTTCATGAGGTAGTCGGTAAGGTCGCGCCCGGCGAGGTCGAGACGGAGGATGGCGTGGGGCAAAGCGTATCCCTCGTAGATTGGCACAGTGTGGGAGACACCGTCGCCGGAGTCGAGGACGATACCAGTGGTACGACCGGATGCGTAAAGCGAGAGCACAGCCTGGATCGCCACGTACATGGCGGGCGTGTTGAAAGTCTCGAACATGATCTGCGTCATCTTCTCGCGATTGGCCTTGGGATTGAGGGGAGCCTCGGTGAGGAGGACGGGGTGCTCCTCGGGGGCGACACGCAGTTCATTATAGAACGTGTGGTGCCAGATCTTCTCCATGTCGTCCCAGTTGGTAACGATGCCATGCTCGATCGGGTACTTGAGGGTGAGGATACCTCTCTTCGATTGGGCCTCGTCGCCGACGTACGAGTCCTTCTGGCCCATGCCGACCATTACGCCCTGATGTCGGGGCCTTCCGACGATCGAGGGGAAGACGGCCCTGGGCGCGTCGTCACCGGCGAAACCGGCCTTGCACATACCGGAGCCATTGTCAACTACGAGCGCAGCAACCTCGTCGTCGCACATTGTGATGATATTGAGCTTCTACCTGGAAAAAAGATAAAATTCAACATTATGTGAACGGATCGTTAATTTTTTTTTTTTCTTCTTTTCTTTTCTTTTTTCCACGCCCCTCCCCCCTCCCCTCTTCTGTGATCGCTTATAGTTTTACTCGCTCCCCTCGAAATTTATTGCCTCGGCGTTGGTTGAGCAAACGGTTTATCTAGACGCGTTTCAGATAATAATTGGGCTGAAAAATTCACCTCTGATTAGTCAGCGCAATTACCGTTGGCTTTATGTTGGAAATCAAAGACTTGTGTTTGCAGATAGTACATCGAGTCATTAAATATAAGATTATGCGACGGATCGTCGCTGACGCAATGTAATAATCGTAGAATCGTAGAATAGCGCTAATTGCAAGCTTGTTTAATGGGAATTTACACTATAGTAATGGCGAATTAAATTATGAACACTTTTTAAATCTACTGGACTTTTCCCACTAGAAACACGACTTACTTGGCTCTCTACAAATCTTTATAAATCTAAGGCACCCATATCCTCGAAATTATCCGTTTCAAATATTCTTTTACGATAAACCAGCACTCGCTACTCGTATTCGAAATGCTTCGATGTACGTTTCGCTTCAATTAAACGCCATGTCAATCGATCCTTTTTATTTATAAAAATAAAATTATTTTGAAAATATTTCTTATCTCCTACAACACATGCTTGCCTAAACGCTATCATACTTTAAGCTTAGACTTGTATAAGTAATGTAAGTATTATTATGCATAATCAATTTTGAATGTTATATCCAATTGTGCCATAAATATATTGATTTATGTCAAATCACCAATTATCTTTGTTTAAAAATGTAGATCGTTTAGATTGATTATGGAATGTGAAACATCGGAACAAATATGTAAGATAAAAAGTCTTATGTTATTAGTTTCTTTAAAATTATTATTATTATTAAGTTCTTTGAAATTTATATTTTATACGCCTGACAAGTTAAATGTCAATAGATTGACAGGTATTCTATCTACTAATAATACCCATACTAATACACAAATACTTATTTCAGTTTCATTAGGGTTTTCCAATTTTCTAAATTAAAATCAAATTTCTTCAAATACAATAACGATAAAATGTTTTTCCTCTTAATCATTGAAATTGAAAATTATTAAACATCCTAAGCCCAGTTGTTAATTTTTTCTTCTTCGTTTTCTTTATACAAGTAAATAAAACGATTAGAAAATACGATTCAATATTATAAGGAAATGAATAAACGACCATAAACTTGTCTCGATTATCAACGTGCTATTTGGAACAAGTAATTTCAGCATTTTTTTTAAACTCAATTTGCGTCTCGAGCACTAACCATCGCCCAAGAACAACGAAGCGTGCGTCCCAACCGACTCGCGCCAGATTCAAAAATTCTAACTGAAAAAAAGGGAAAGTACACTGTATGCCTTCTTTTACATTTTCTTTTTCTTTCTCTTCTCCCCCCCCCTCTCTGTCTCTCTCTCTCTCTCTCTCTCTCTCTCTCACTAATATGAGTAATGTTAATATAATGTCAATATATATATATAGGAATTAAAATGGCAGCGAGCATATTATTGCTTTGTTTTGTCCTGACGAGTATCACGTCGCAGACAGAGTGAGAGAGAGAGAGAGAGAGAGAGAGAGAGAGAGAGAGTGAGAAAAGCCTCGACAGAGTGGAATAAGAATATGAACGCGAGAAGAAAGCAAAGGGGAAAAAAGGCAAAACCGAAATACAGGGCCCCGGCTCGCCACCGCTGAGGTAAGGAATATTCTAGGCGCGTCCCTCTGTTTTGCCTGCTGGCTCAAGCACACGCACAGCACACATGCTAGCAGGCGAGCGCTCGCGCGCGCGCGTTAACCGCACCCTGCCCCGCCCAGCCCCGGCTTTCAACGGTCGATAGCCGGCAGCGCTGACTGTCTCCCTCTCTCGCTCTTCCTCTAACTGGCTGGAAGCATACATCGTTATTTCGCTGGTCCTCGAACGTTTCAACGAAGGTGAATAAGAGACCCCCAGAGACACGAAATGTTGATTCTTTTCTCGCTAGGCCTTACACCATCAGTCTTGGACCCGGTGAGCCAAGGTCGCGACCGCGTTTCCTTGTAGCTGAACGCGAACACATTACGAGAGAATGACTTGTCAATGCCGAGGAGACAGCCAAATCGCGAGAAACTTATTATCGAAGTAGTACTCAACGAATTTAAGGTGCATTGAAGGGAGGATGATGTACTTTCATGGGCAGGGGGAGGAGTCCTTAAGCAACCAAGATTCTCCCGGAGTGCGCACAGGACGCGTTGCATAAAATGGAAGTTCTATCGCTCGACTACGCGATATGAATTGAAAAGTGGCGACGGCAACAATGGCGCAGCCTCGCACACGTCTTTCCGCATTCCAATTTCGAAAGCCTCGGGATTACACGTCGTCGCAGTTCCCTTTATGGCGGCAAACGGACGACGCAGGATAGAGGACGAAAAGCAGAGAAAGCAATTACAGATTGGAAGATAAAAATCCATCACTTCACACCGGATGCACCATATAACCGCACAGCTAGATCGCCAAGTGGTTGTGTCGCTCACCCGATCGGACGCACGCACACACACACACACTCTCTCTCTCTCTCTCTCTCTCTCACACACACACACAGACACTCGACTTTAATGCTCCGTACATAACGGATCTCGTAATTAATACCCACTTTGTACGAGAATCCGCTTAATGTACAAGCAAACTCTTTTTCTTTCTTTACCTCCTGCTACGCCCTCACCCCGCCTCAAACAATCCTTTATTGCTTTCCTCATACACAAGTTCGATATCGCTTGTTCTAACTATTCAATAGCAATTATAAAGATCCCGCACAATAAATGTCCATTCTTCACACAGTGAACAAATAAAACGGCAACGGTCACAAAAAAACGCGGGAAACTCGTGATTTTAAATATTATATTCTAGATGAGAACAACTTACTTTTTCTCAAGTAACGAATTATTACAAAATCTGCCCAGCAGCTGCCTCACGTGCAATTATATGTATACATAAATGTACATATAACATATATTTGCTATCGTGCTTGCTTCACGCCTCGCTCTCTCTCTCTCTCTCTCTCTCTCTCTCTTATTCTCCAAGTCTCCGTTCACACGCAAATTTTTAAAACTCGACTACCGCAGTAAGGAAAACACGCTCGTCACTCATAAGAGAATGTCGGCTCCGCGGCCGGTCACCGGTGTGTTATACGAGGCGAGAGCCGCCCGTCGTCCCCCTACCACGCGACTCCTCGCTCCCCACCCCGCGACCAACCGCGACGACCAATAAGGGCAGGACACCCTCGTCCAATCCCGGCTTTCTTTACCATATATGGTAGTGCTCTGGCCGCGGGAGGGGGATGGATTGACCCCTTCTCCCGGCCATCCCGCGGTGGTGCCGCTGTGCCCGCGACGCGCCGCGATAACCTAACCTAAAAGCCACCCTCGCGTCTCCTGGACGCTTCGATACGGCCACACCGAGCCGAAGACAATGATAAGTGTGGTGGTAGTGGCGGTGTAATGTAGTAGGATGACTACTATTCGTAATGATAGAATAATAGTAATATGTTAGTGTTTCCTCGAACTTGATGCGCCGACACGAGACATTTGATTTGACATTTTTATGAAACAGTTGGTTTTTTTTTTGTATCCGCACCAAGATATCAGCAATGCCACCGCTTCATTACTTTATATACATTTCATCATAATCATTATTAATAATAATATAATCGTCGTTATTTCTCACTGTCATTGTCGTTATTACTATTGTTACGATAATCGTCAATAAAACGATTGTTGTTTAGCTCGCAACATTGTTTATCGTCGCCAAATGGATAAGCAGTTTTTGCGGTACAACGCGAATGGTGCGTACGACCGGAGAGTACACGAACACACTGGGAAAACAACGTAATCTTATTGAAAATGATAAAAGATTCGGAGTCGAGGAATGTAATGTATACCTTTAAAACGATAATGCTCGAGTTTTTGTTCTGCGCCGTTATATTTATCACGAGAACCGTTCTGGAAGCCAAGAATCCGATTGATTTGAGTTTGGATTTTCTTTTGAATTTTTTATTTTAAATCTGCGTTAAATGTGATATATTCGATTAGATAAAATAATAGTTCATCGCCGGTCGATTGTAATGAAATTCGGGCTTGATAATCGTGAATTTATTAAAAATTTACAATATTCAAGTCGTCATATAGATTTTTTATTGAATTTCTCATAAACCTGTTGTTACGAACACGGTGGCAAAACATTCGAGTCACTCGTGAAAATTCGAGCGAATTGGGGGGGGGGGAGTCGTCAAAACATTTTGTCGATCAATTTGAACCAAGTATTTTCGTTTAGTCACGTCAACTGGAATATATAATGGAGTCTATTTGTGATAACAGTTAATGCTCGTAGACTGATTTATTTTGGTTGAGAAAAAAAAGGTTTATTACGAAAAACAATATTATGTAAGTTTCACGGTCAAGATTCATGACAATATTATTTACATTTTCATCCAAAGAATATAATAAACTACCGTCTGTCGTCAATTGTTTTGACGTTTACGTTAGCATAAACGAAGTTTGTCATTTGTGCTGCTATTTTTCTTATTTTTTGACCGTTTCGCGCAGTACTTGTATTAAATTTTTCACAAGAATAACTTGATTTTATTGAAATTTAACGATTAACCGAATTGTTATGCTATATGTTATGGTTAATATATATAATTTCTTGATATTGTGGAATTGCCACTACATTCTTAAAATGCACTTAATTTACTTAAAAAAAGTACATTCCAGGACCGACATGGCAATTAAAAAAAAAAAGTCTAATAAATTATATATAGTTCTAGTGTTAATTCGAACTTTTAAACATTATTCGAATTTAACAATAATGCAATATATAATTGCTACTCAACGATTTCACATATAAATATGAGAATACACGATTACCTACTGGTGCTTCGATAACGTTTTATGTCATATAAAAATTAAATTTTTAAATGGTCCGATGATTGCCAAGTACTTAAAATCCATTTAAATATGTCACTAATTAACTCCTTCGCAAAAGCAAAGACACGAGTATTAAAATTTTAATGAAATAACGACGAATCAAGGAGAATGATTTTTTATTTTGTTTTTCTTTTTTTCTTTTATTTACATGATTCGGTTTCATAAAACACGTTTAAAAATTTTACAAATTATATATTTGTTCTATTGTGTTTTCTTTTCCGCCAATGCGATATTTCCATAAATTTTTCAAAATATTACTCATCGGAAAACCTAATTGACAGTAGATACAATACAGTAAACTAACGTGGTTTTCCACAAGTTCCAACGATAATATTTCCAATAGAATATTTTAGATAATGCGACAATGAGAGAGAGAGGCCTCGTATCGAAAATTGTCTAGATAATGCGATCGAATCGATATAATTTTTATATTTCGCCAACCAAATGAAATCTTTAATAATTGCAAAGCAAATTTACGATTATAAGATAATCAATTATATTATCTACATTTCCAGACGATATAATAATACAATAATACACATAAGCAATTATTTTGTTTTATTGTTTATTTTATCCTCCATCCGTTTATATAAATATCTAGAACTATTCATACCTATTTAACTTTTCCCTAAAAGGGAAGACACCTTTGCGAATTCCAATTTAAAACACCATTCGCAAGTGATAAAAAAATAAGGTGAAATCCGTTTTATACGTATATAATGTTCTATCAACCCGCGAACGAAAGGGAATTTACCTTCTGAGTAGGCAGTCATAAGATACCGGAAAGGCAGTTTAATCTTTTTTTTTACATTGCAGTTGCAACTTTAGGACGTAAATGCTATATTAACGGAGTGCAAAAAGACGGTTATATAAAATTAAAAATATCTTACAGTCTTATCATAAATATATCGAGAAATAAAACGACGGCTTGGACATATATATTTATAATTAAAAATGTATTATATAAATTAAAAATTGTAAGAAAAAAACTGAAAATATTGCACGACAAAAACTCTTGGAATTACTAAGAATTCATGAATTAATGTATATTTCAGGAACACTGTCGACATCTTTCATTATGCAACAATTTATTACATTACACAATAATCAAAGCATTGACGAGCGAGCCGAATTAATATCCCAGATCTTCATAAAAGGCTGACACACTCGGGAATCGCCCATCATTCTCTACAAATTAAAATGAAATAAAAAGAAAATGTGGTGTAAGGGGGAGGGTGGTGGTGGAGAGAAAACCTCGGCAATTCATTGTAACGATCGGCGTTATAAAAATCGTAGCCATCGGGAGCGGCGATTAAACGATCTTCGGCGAAAGAAAAGAAAGGAATTCAGCAATGCCTGCGTGAAAGCAATAGCCGAGGCTGTTGTCGGTCGATCTCGCGCCCAGCCATTAATACTTTTTTTTCTTCTTTTTATCAAGCGCGGCGTGAAATAATAAGCAGCTCGATAACACCGAGCTACGACTGAGGATTAGAGAAAAGTTGCTGATTAAAAGAAAGATGAAGAGGAAACCTTAACCTAGCTCCAAAAAGCCCCACCCCGTCCCTGACGCTTTCTTCCCGTTGAGCTGGCCTCGCGAGCCCCAAGAAGTCGCATTCCAACGGCACGTGGTCGAGTCGACGGACACGGACGGAATCGCAAACACCTCAGAGTTATACTGCAAGAGAAATCTTCCTGAATCCTCCTCCTCGGGGCCGCTTGTAATGCTACGCAAGCGGATAGCATCCCCCCCGCCCACCCTCGATCCAGTTCCTTCGCCATCGTAATCGTCTGTTATTATTAATGGTTTAATTGTGCCATGAGATGCGCGAACGTATTCGACATTTGACATAAAAATGTGTTTACATTATGAGCGAGCAATTACTGTGCGTGCTAACAATATATGGGAATGGAATATCTTTTATGAAATTACTTTAGGATGGAATTTGAACTCCTTGGACTTTCCAGTCGATTCTTATTTTATCTTACCTCACCATCCGCACGTAAACTCACTTACTCCCTCCCGCCCCACTTCCATCTAGCTCACTCACACTCACTCACTCACTCACTCTCTCTCTCTCTCTCTCTCTCTCTCTCTCTCGTAATCTCTTGTGCGTTTTTGTTCGACCAAGGAAATGATGAATGAATGCCTCGGGAGGTTTCTTTCAACACATTCAGAGTCTCGCGCGCCATTCACTGAAATTACGTGCACTGGCCCTAGAAAAATGTTTCCTCCCCTTTACCTAAATATCCTAACTATTTTCTCCTAACGGATGAAAATAACAATGGTTGTTTTAAAACTGTACGAGGTACCATAAATTAACAATTATGTATATATTAAAATAGACGAGCATGCTAGATTAAAAGCATGTAAATGATTAGACGTAGAGATAATACGTATGATAAATTTTTTTAAATTATCTTATTCTAGAATCGCTTAATACTCATTTCTGCCACGGATGTAATGAATTTGCAAGCACAGCTTCTTATGAAACAATTTAAACTGATTCTATCTCGTCTTTCTTTTATTGCATCTAAAGGATTTGTATGAAAGATTATTAATTCGGTCATTAAGAAGAAAATTGAATTATATTTAATATCATTGCCCACGATAAATAGAGCCATTAACTATTATTTTTCTCTCTTTACAATTCATATCATAAAAATGAACTTTGCGGCGCACGAACTTTAATGCTGCAAATCAATAAATCGATGTTTGCGCTTGTAAGAAAATTCTCTGCTCATAAATTTATAATTTAATTAAATCAATTAACGATGAAACGACCTCAAAAAGATTATGGCTTTCTACGCTTCGTTCTTATCAATAAACGTTAAGTTTTAAAAACTTTTTAGTTATCAATATTAAATTAACCGCTTTAGACATGCTTCCAGGGGAGTACGACCAACTTACTATTGTCTTTTGTTTAAAGTTTTGTGCGTGTATTAGTGCGCGCACGCGCGCATGTGTGAAAGAGAAGAATTTCTTCATTACCAAGTGCTATTATATTTTGATTATGAAGCATTTAAGAGTGAAAGAGAAAGAGAATTAATAACAATAATAATAATAATAATAATAATAATAATAATAATATTAATAATAAAAAGAAAGAAAGAAGAATCCTCGAGTTTACTATATGCTAAGGCAATAAAACGTAGGAAAAACGATGGAAGCATTCGT